CTATCTATCTATCTATCTATCTATCTATCTATCTATCTATCTATCTATCTATCTACATGTATGTATATAAATAAAATATTTCTAAAATTCTGAACGCCATTAAAAAACGCGACGTTTTGAAAACGTTATTTGTTTTCTTCTTTTTATTTATTAAGCGTTTTTCGGCGCTAGCAACTGCATAAGTTTTATGAGTGCGCGGGACACACTAAACATTTTCAGTTTGTAGGAAATTTTGAATTTTGCCCTGGTGGCGGCAGAAGCCTACTCTTATCGATTTTGGAACACTAAGGGATCTTAAACTTGCGCAACTTGTACACAGGACCTCCGGGATTATCGCCCTTGTCACAGAAGGCTAGTTGTAGATCTTTCTTACCAGAAGATCAGAGGTGTAGCTGAAAGACAACAGTAAGAAGGAGCCAAGGAGTAGCAGTAGAAAGGCTGCAGAAAGAGTTAGGAGCCCAGAGGGGGCAAAGGGGGCAAAGGGGGTGAGGGGGGGGGGCAGAAGATGGAGACGAAAGCAGAGAACACAGCATTGCTAGAGAGCAGGAAAAGAGGTGAAAGGGACAATTTTAAAGAAGGACATTTTTTGGCCGCTACTCGGGACCTTTGAATAAGAGGCGAACACCTTAACCACTTAGCCACGAGAGCCTTTTTGAAATGCATTAATGAGACACAATAACTCCTCAATAGAATTTAATTCACTTAAAAGGCGATAAGTTGCTCTTTCCGAACAGTTCGAACATATTGCGATTAGTTTTGATTTTTCTTTCATTGCAAGACGCCCTAACTTAGCGAAACTGACAGCAAGTTTTGCCTCTGCCTAGTTGAAGGCGGGAAATCTGTCTGAGAGGCAACAAGACAGCTAAAATTCAGTGCGTGTATTGTTTCTCGACGCATCCAATAATTTTAGCATACTCCAGGATATACAAAAAATAGAACAGCCTCGAGAAGCCAGGCCTGCACAAGACAGACAGATTTTGCTGTCACATCTGTGAAATCGTTTCCTTCTTGCAAAAGTAACAACCCAAGGCATGCAAGGAGTGCGTGGATATGTTTCTTCTATCAAAGTGAGGCGCCGAATAGTTATCCAAAACTTAGAACAATAACTGCCGTTTTGACAAGGTGCAAACAAATCGAAAATTAGTAAAGATATCTCACTCTTAGTAAACTGCATTGCCATCACTAACATGCGTACATGTTTTTTTAGCAGATTAACCGCCTTGATAACAAGGCGGAGGCAAAACTTGAAGTCAGCTTCGCTAAGTTGAGGCGTCTTGCAAGAAAAATCAAAACTGATCGTAAAAATGGCGGGGATTTTGTTTGGAAAGAGCCACTAATAATATTTTAAGGGACCATTCACAAATTAATGATGTCAGCTCAGAGGGGGTGGGGGGGGGGACGAGGGTAGGAGGTCAGTGAAAAGTTTATCAACGTCGACATGGGCGCGGTGGGGGGCTTACAAAGTTGATGTCAACCGTGATGCTCTAAAAAACCGGAAGAAAAGTATTACTTACCGCAATTTCTTGGTCTAAAATTATCACAGTTTAATTGATCCATATTAATTTTTTGGCCTAAAAGCTAACATTTACAGTTATCTTTCCATAGCACAGTCTGGAAGAAGCTACATTTGAACTAAAATAGAAGTAAAAATGGGCATGAAAATAAATGAAATGTATCATGTACATGTGCTATCTAAATGTACATGTCATTTTGGTTGACGTCAACTAGGGTGGGGGG